GATGATGATGATGATTTCACGCGGACGACGTTGCGAGGAACAGTTAGTTTACATACTCGTAAGTTTACACAACACCTAATGAATAGTGGGCGTAATCTTTGACTAAACTATCGCACAACTGTCGATTGTCGATTGATTCGCAAAACAACTGTTTAGTTGCACAACTAAATATCGAGTAGTGCAACTCCAAAGTTCATAGGAATCTAAGCGTGACTATACAGTTGTGCGATAATTTAGTCAAAGTTGTGCCAAAACTCTTAGAGAATGCTGAAATTGCTTAATGGCCCTAAATTGTTATAAATTAAGTACGAGGGACGAATGAAAGGAGAATACATGTGGCGGAAATGCGAATGTTAAGATGGATGTGTGGTAATGATTGGATAAGATACGAAATGAGTATATTAGAGGAAGTTTGTAGCCCCAGTGGTAGAGAAAATAAGGAGTAAAAGGTTAGAGTGGTATGGGCATGTTATGAGGAGGGATGAATCGCATGTAACAAGAAGGACGTTAGTTATGAATGTGGTACCGGTAGAGGTAGACCTAGAAAGAGATGGATTGCGTGAAAGGTGACATGATCAAGAAGGGAGTGATGACTGAGATGATGGATGATAGAGTGCTTTGGAGGACGAAAACCCGGTGCGTCCTACGGGAGTAAGATAAGGCAGGGGAGACGATGATGAAATACTAGAATTATACAAACTCAAAGCTTAGAAACATTCTGTCGTAAACTTGAAAAGTTAAGGTCAATTAAGGGCATATAAGTTAAGAATAAGAGATTAAGTTATAATTGAAATAACTTACATCAGCCAAAGAGTTAGGTTCAACTGCAGCTATAATTACAGGCGCGTCTCCTCTCACTGTGAAGCCAAAACCTTCTTCATCTTTATTACTTCCCACATTATACTCACTCGCCACTCTTCTTAACTCTTTCCGTTCTCTTCCGTTCTTTAATTTAGATTCCTTCTCTATCTCAGTGAAATCGTATTCGTATTCGATAACTTTATGATGGTAATCGTAGTTATTATTATTATAACTGTTTATGTAGACGCCATTTTGTTTCGTCACTCTTTTTTCGTCTAGAATCTTCTCGTCTCTTTGATTGTAATATGTGCTGTTATCTTCTGAATGATCTCGTTTGTCGCTTCGTCTTCTCAGGTTGTCTTCTTTGTTCCTTCTGTCCCGTCGTGCTTCTCTTCTCTTCTCCGTGTTCTTCTGGAGTTGGATAAGTCGTGGCGCGCTCCAGTGTCGTTTTGCGGAGAAGACCGCGATAGGTCCTAGAGATTTGAATAGGTCTTCTACTCGGTGTTGAGCGAAGTCGGGTGGTGTTAATGCTAGTTCGAATTTTGATGCAGCTGTAATTTATAGAATAATCTATAGTAATATTATAAAGAGAAAAGATTTGTATTTTTTTATGTATTTATTCATAAAAGTATTGGGACAATTTTAAAAAAATCTATCCCCGTTAGAAAGGTAATTCATCTGTGAGTAACATAGGCTTATTATTTCACGCGGACGTAGTCGTGAGCAATAGCTAGTTATTAATTAAAATAGTTATTGAGTTAAATGCCATTTTTCAAAATACTTAGAGATGTAATAGAAAAATAGTAATGCCCGGTTTACAGTTAGACAGTAGCGCTTAACAACTAGTTAACTGGACTGGCAAGCAACTGGCACAGTGTAAACGCACCATTAGCCCATACAGTTTATGACTGGCCATCGCAACTGTCCAACTATGGACCGTGGATATGGATCCGTGAACTTTTACCAGCGCGTTTTAATTCGCCGCCAGCGCCATCTATTGGTGGATTTTGTAAAGTTATTTAGTTGTGGGGTACTTTTTATATGTTTTGTTGACGTACGCAGTATCGCTGGAGCGTCGATGATGTCAGCGAAGTCGGGCTCCTCCCTGCCGCCGCGGGCCCGCGCCGCGCGCTCGCGTTGCGCAGTCACACAACGGGACAGCGCCTCCTTGCCGCGCAACTCTCTGTAATATTATATTACTAGTTTTATCAGACAGAGTTTCTCGTTTAATTCTTAAATATATTTTAAATAACCAACATCAATCATATTTGAAAACAGAATATTCTATAGTTCTTTAGTAAATTGCCTTGTCTATACTCTATACTATTATAATAAAGCGTAAACACACACTTCTTTGTTGTCTATGATGTCAGCAATTACAGCATATTTTTGAATAATTCTTTTTTTTAATAAAAAGCCCTACGCTTACGCTACGCTTTAGGGTACATATTTTCACGATATTAAACTTAGGGGGTAAATATTTTGGATAAAAACCCTAATGTGGGAAAGAGAACATAAGTTGCTGCCAACATCAAGGAAGCAAGACAGTTAAGGTTTGTCATTTTGACATTTGCTATTGATAATTCGACAAATGTAAATAATAAAATAAAATTTTCACAATTTCATGCGGATGAAGCCGCGCGGGAACAGCTAGTTGGTAATGTTGTGTGATTCGTTTAGACAAAATAACTCTAAGTAGCATGTCTACAGAAGTAGACTGACCTGCACATCCTCTGCAGCCGCAGCGCCTCCTCGTACAGAGCAAGTGCCTCCGCGAGGTGAGCACGACCTAGCGCTGTCGGCTCCACTTCCGACACGTTATTGCATCCTGGAGGGTAAAACATTAAAAAAAATTATAAAAAACCTTACTAACATGTAACCAGCCCACTTTGTCCATGTGATTTAAAAAAAAAATTATAATAACTTTGTGTTTTTCAAGAATATTCTCTACCTCTATGACAATTATCAAGATAAGTTCAGTTTTGGTTACAAACTCTAACAAACATTCATACTTTCGCATTTATATTAAGATTTTTTTTTTATAACAAGGTGGCAAAGCGGCCACTAGAATCCGCCAAAATAGCGAAGCGACTGCCCATAGACATCCGCAATTGCAGATGCGTTGCCTTATACGACGGAGGAGACGCTCATAAAGAGGACATTTCCCCTTCCTATGCATCTCTTCCACCGTCAAATCCACTTTCTCTTCCCATCCTCTCCTTATAAGAAAAGGGTGGTAAAGGGAAAGGGACTTAAATTAGGCCTTAATTAGATTAGATGTAGAGCAGTCTGGAAGAACACATAGACCACTTTAGTTTTTTTAATTCCACAGACGGAGTCGCGGGCAAAGTTAGTCTGTTTATAGTTTAGTCACAGGTGTTTATAAGAATTATTTATATTAATTTTTTTTCTATTTGTGACTATTGTAATATTAAGTACATGTTCTGGATTATTCCCAACCGTCACCCCGCTAGCCCCAACTTGAGAATAAAGTTTCTATTGTCCCACTTTTTAGTCCCATGATCACCAAGGTGACAGATGGTCGTTATGAAATAAAATATGTCCCAACCGTCCCCTCGTCGCAAAAGATGGGGCAGGTGAAACCTGTCTCCACGTGGGGATAGAGCGGGGTGACGGTTGGGAATAATGCCTTGTTTTTTCTTCTATTCTGTACAACTCAGTGTTCTGTTTTAGCATCGCAGCACATGCCGAATTAATTCCTTTTTTTTTATAAACGTATTTCTTTCTAATGTATTAAGTGTAGGCAGGGTAGAGACATTACCCTGCGTGCGGTCGGGGGCGTGCAGCTGCGCGAGGCGGTCTGCGCGCGCGCCCGGCGCCTGCAGCAGCGCCACGCCGCAGTACTGGTGAGCCAGTGCTGGAAACACATTACAATAAATTACTATACATAATAAAAATAATATAGTATAGTAGAATAATAAGCCAAGAATTTTTGATTAAAAAAAAAACTTTGTTATGTAGGATGTGAAGTTATATTTATCTTACTTCTTACTAATATTATAAATGCGAAAATTTTGATGTATGTTTGTTAGCGTTTGTAGCACAAACTACTTGTAGTACTTATTTAAGTATGTACTTATTTGATAAATTATTACTTCGTCGCCCGGCAATGCTCACCAAAAATAACCTCTATATGCTGAACGGATCTGGATAAAACTTGGCCTAGGTATAATATAGTCTAGAAGAACCGTATGCTAACTTTCTTATTTCTGCGTAGAAGAATGAGAAAAAGGTAATATTTTTAAAGTGCTTATTAGTTACCTTTATAGAACTCAGTCTTGACATGGACTAATGACACCCACGAGTATGGCACGTAGTTGAATACACCTTCAGTTTGCATCTGTAAGTTATTTAATAATATATTTATAACAAAATAAAGACTTTTTATCGATCTAAAATATCTTTAGTGTGTAAAGGTCTTAAAGTTCAAAAATTAAAATTTTAGCAACACCGCCATCTATGGACGAGAAAATTTAACAAGAGCGCCATCTAGCGAACGATGCGGGTATTTAGCAAACTTGTTACTTTATCGTGTAGTTGTTTGTAGACGTGTGCGAGCTGCGCGCTCTCCTGTGCTAAGTCTAGGCACATATCGAGGTCTGCGGGCAGCGCCTCGCCGCGCGCCTCCCGCGCTTGTAGTTGTAGCTTCTCGAATAAACACTCGCGTGCTTGAGCCTGTAACAAACATATTACTATCATCTATCGGTACGGATTTACTTAGATATACTTAGTGTTTAAAACAGCGCCTTTTGTTTTGGAAATTAAATTTTTATTTAGTGCTAAAATAAGCAAAGCTACTTCCGCGCTGGATTAAAATAAAACTAATTAATAGCCTATGTCTTCTTCCAGACCATTTAGTAAATCTATACCAAATTTTAATAGATATCTGGATCTGTTGAGAAGTTCATTTAAGATAGTAAGATTACATTCTACTGATAAACTTAAATTGGCACTTAACAAGTTTTATAACCTGTTCATGTATAAATATCAGTTTTTACACATGTACAATACGAAAATAACGTTAAAAAAACGACTAACTTTAAAGTTAGTCGTTTTACTTATTATTGGTGGTATTAATACCATCTCCAGATCAAGTACTTTTTGAAAACAGCGCCATCTATTGTTCAATGCGCTTATATCTAATTAACCATTTTAAAACAGCGCCATCTACACAATAAGATATAGATTATTACCGTCATTAGTGTCCCGAGTACTAGCAGAGTGTCAGCAGCGAGGTCCACCGAAGGCGCGTTAGTGAAATTCTCATGTATATAGCGAAGTGCGCCCGCAGCACGCAGCAGTGCGTCCACCGCGCCATCTAGACCGGAGCATGTTGTACGTTCCTAAAAAAACATTAAAAACACATTAACTTGCCCTTGTTTCTAAGCAACGTCAGTATGTATACATCTCAGCCGTCATATCTGAATCGTTCTTAAGTATCCTCTTTCATACAATCCATACTTTCTTCGGTCTTCTACTTTTGTAGTCCACATTACACTTTCTGGTTTAAGTCCCCATCCTGTCGTCATAAAATGTACATACCACGAATTATTCCCAACGTGAGAATAAAAGTTTCATCCCACCTTTTAGTCCCACTATCATTAATATGGTGAAAGAGGGACCGTTATGAAATAAAATAATTTCCAACCGTCCCCTCGTCGTCTAAGGTGGGACGGATGAAACCTTTTTTTCTCATCTGTTCCCACGTGGGGCAGATCGGGGTGACGTTTGGGAATAATCCCATACCACGCTAACATTTTGCTTCTCAACAACTACCATAATTCTCAGATTCTGCTCATTTTTATAAATTTTTAATTCACCGCGGACGAGGTCGCGAGCAACAGCTATATTTTATAATTGAATAAAGTCACTTGACAACATAAGGGCAAATTATCGTAGTGTATTGTAATTAATAAGTAACTATAACTATTAAAATCACCTGTTTAGCGCCAATCTGTGTGTAGATGCCAGCCATGTTGAACAACACACAGGCTTTCTCAAACGCCACCGTCCGCTGACACGATGGTACACCTAGATTACATAAAAACATCAATTACAGTAAGAAAAATACATACAATAATCAATTTAAGAGCGTTGAATCTTGCTTTGATTCCTATGAGCTTATATGAAGACACTAATCGATTTTTAGTTGTGCAACTAAACAGTTGTGAAACAATCGACAATCGCACAACAGTTGTGCGATAGTTTAGTAGTATGCGCCTACTCTAAACCTAGACAAAACGAAAACCAGATTATTCCCAACCGTCACCCCGCTGTGACCCATGTGAGAATAAAAAGTTTTATCCGTCCCACCTTTTAGTCTCACTATCACCATTAAGAATAGTTGGAATCGTTATTGAAATATAAATAAGTTCCAACCGTCTCCTTATTGCAGGTGGGACAAAAAAAAATCTTATTTGTCTCCACGTGGGGACAGAGCAGGGTGACGGTTGGGAATAATCCTGAAAACGAAAGCACATAAGTCACGTTTAATCAAATTTCGTTACATGAGTGCGATAAAAGATATGAAATACAGAGAACAGAAACGAAACAGCTATACGTTGCAATGACCTTAGCACTTCGAAACAATTTTGTTCGAGAACTACTATTTAGATACCGGTTTTTGTATGGCGAGCCCTTTTTTGGGAGGGTAAGAAAAGGGTTTGGTTTCCCTTTTAACTGTAACGTCTTTAGTAACATTTCTTACCAGTTAATGAATCGAACCACTCGAAGTAGACCCCCAGAGAACGGTCTGGAGGAAAGAAGCGACGTTCGATGAAGTACAGCTGGTTGTAATACTTGAATAAAAGTGCTACGCCCACTGTAGAACGGACTGGGGTTCTCATAGCCTGTAAATGCAACAGATAACATAATCGAATAAATCCGGTAATCATCAACCTTATGTCTACGGAGGGTCGGCACAATGCTGCTCTTCCATACATTTCTATCAGCTGTCATATCTGAATCCATTCCTTTCAACATATCCTCACATCCATCCATACCTTCTGTCTTCCTCTATCTTTATAGCCATCCACATTCATGGCATTTTGAAATAAATTACTACTAGCCCCCCCCTTGATCGTCCCCATTCAAATCAACGTAAGAGTGATAAGGACAGAAATATACCTGTCTCATATCCATAAAGTCGGAGATGGCGTCTTCGTAAGCTGCCGCGTCTTCGCTGTAGTGCTCCAGGATGAAGTCTTTGAAAGGCTCTCGGAAGTCCACCTCCTTCGTCTCCTTTAGACCCAGCGGGATCATAGGCATAAGGCATTCTTTGCTGCGGAACAAAGAGAGATATACTGATTATTAGTACGCTAGAAAGAGATAGATATATGTAACTATTTTCGGCTATTAAAGTGAATTGAGAATGGCTAATAGTATTTTTTTTCTATAAAATGCAACCTTCTAATTATTACACCGTTCAGTTCTGTAACCTCTGGTTGTAAATTCATGCCAAATTTGATTCCATAATCATACGTTTATTGCAAATTGAACTTTATCGTAAAGCAATAAGGTGTATAGTGCATTGATAAAATATGATAAAAAATCACCGAATACCGGACATTATTATGAAGGTGTAGTGTGGTTTAATTTATACGCGGAAAGCGCTTTTTTCGCGTAATTAATAAAGGTTAAGTAGCCTACGTGTTCTTCCAGACTGCTAAATTTCAGTCGTGTAGGAGATACCTTCCAACATCCATTCAAACAGACCAGCTTTCGCACATTTCGTACATTTTAGTAAGAGTAAGATTGGGCCATTGAAACTATAGTTATAATAATAGAGAAACACATTATTAAATATGAAAATCGCTAAAGCTTATGACTTAATCCATACTTGGAATAGATCACACGTCACCATCCATCAATCAACTAGCGGGATGTAATTCATTACGACAAAAAATACGCTCCTTATACGCCAGCCATTTTCACTCTGTATCCGTACTTTTTATTGGAATTGGTCTTCAATAATAAATCTTTGATTGTAAATAAAAATGAATTGCTGTACATTGCATATACAAGACTGCTTCTAAATTATTGTTTATGATTTTTAATATGTTACATTAAGAAAATTATGTTAGTTCCCGCCAAAATCTTATAAACAAAAAACGAAAAGCGTAAAGCGTAGTTTTAGATATGCGGCAACAAAGTGTTGGAATAACATCCCGCCACCTATAAAGAGCGCGCGCACCAAAAACGCTTTCAAAAACAAATTGCGATTGTTTTTGATGGAAATTCAAAAATTGATATGAACGCTTTAATCAGACATATACCTTATAAAATATTAACAACAATCGGAAGATTTTACGTTTTTTTTTTATTATTCTTTTATTTATTTGTTTTTTTATTTTTTTATTCGTTTCCAAATTATTATTCGGTTGTTGTGTTACTATTTCTCGTATACTTGTTTTTCATTATTTCCGCATATAAATTAAACACGCCTTTTACAGTATAGATATTAGTGTATAGTTATTATCCACTTTTTTGCTTTATTTTGTTTTCCCTCTCTTTTCCATTTCACTTATAAACATGACTATAATTTTTTTTTTATTTATTAATTGCTGCAACTGACGTACTGCCACAAAAGGCTTTTACAGAATACCAGCGCTTATTGCTATACTGTAATAAGCACATAGCTGAGTAAAGGCCCTATCCATTCAGCATAGCAAACTTAGTTAAAAAAAAATATATTGAAAGTTATGATATTTTTGATTGATGCTTATTATTGTGTATTTGTATATATTTTGTTGTTGTTTGTAAAACTTTCGTTTCCTCCGTCATTATTTTTGTCAACTGTGTAATTAAGTGTATGATGTTTGCCTTCTGAATGGATTAAATGACTTATTATTATTATTATTATTATTAAAACATGGCGGCCATTGTAATTGTATTGTGTACAATATTCATTGAAATTTTTTAAAACAATTGTATTAATTAGATAGCTAGTGTTATAAGAGAATGTTCTGGAAAAGTTTCTACGAAATTGATTCATCAAAAATTGTCGTGTAAAATTAACCTGCCATTTTGTTTTAAACATTTAGTAATTTTTAGCGATTAGAAAGTGACGATGTGGCAACACTTTCTTTGTAAATCCGACAAGGGTACGGTTTAATTTTAAATTTCTTGCTTAATAATTTTGTTAACGGTAAATTCTAGGAAAGAGTATTCTTCGAAAACTATTTCACATAAATTTTTAAAATAAAAATAATTTCTTTAACACATTTTCGTCATAGATTAAAGAAGTCCAGAATGATTTCCAGCAGAATAATTATTGAACTTGTTTGTTAAAAGTGGACAAGTTAATTTAACTTAAAAACTACTTATGCGCCTTATAAAATATACCACTTAAGTATAAAAACTAACATCTGACGTATAATTAGACTGGAATGGATGTGACGTTTACTTAGAGTTAATGTTTCAAACGAAGCTGTAATAGGGTACAATGTTGATAATAGGCCGTGGTTTATAAAAGTAGCAAGAAAATAATTAGTATAGTGTAGGCTTTATAAACCTGTGTAAGTTCGAAATAAACTAAAAACCAAATGGATGATTTTACTAAGGATGTAATATAATTAGACGATTTATTAAAATCGAATAAAACTTGTTATAAACTGACAAATAAATGACAAATGTTTAGATAATTAAAACTACTATGCAAAATCGAAAACATATTTAAATAACAAACTATTTTGTCGTTGTTTTAATTTACGATAAGAAAATAAATTACAAAGCTATTTTATGAATAAATCAACAATTGAATTTAAGTCGATAATAAAAAAAAAGATTAAACAACAAAATGCAAAGACTAAATACAAAACATTCGTTTGATTAAGAATACATAATCTATGACGGTTGCGTAACATAAAATTCGCGCCAAAAATTTTGCCGCAATAAAAATGTCTCAAAGGATTTAACATTCTTATTGAATTTATATGTAAAGATTATATTCAATACATTGATGCGAGAAAGTTTTAACTATGATTTCGTAACGTTTGTTATACAATATTTCTAGTCATAGAACAAATATATTTTTACTTATTCTAGTATTACCAGCTCACTATACGTCCCTAAGTAAGTGGTGACTAAGCCATAGTCAACCACGCTTCACTGCGGGTTGGTCTTCACGCATATCTTTGAATTTCTTCGCCGACATGTGCAGGCATCACGATGTTTTCCTTCACCGTAAGAATGTCGGGTAAATTATGTACATATAACAATTCGAAAAATCGAAACTCACATTGGTACGGCGGGATTCGAATCCAAGACCTGCATATTACTCAAGAGTGTACACACTAAGGGATACTTAGTGGTCCCGTAACTTTGCGGCAGTAAGTACAGATTAAGAAATAGTTTTCTCAGTAATTAGAGAGTTCACAAATTATTGGTTTGAAAAGTGTAACAGATGAGCGCCATCTTTAGGAATATTTTCGCAATAATCGAAAACCATCTGATTTCGCCGAGCAATTTATCGTGGATGATTCGAGACGCTTTCTGTTGTGTGCGTTTGTCATCGGAATGACTAAACGAGATGCATTGTAAAATTAATCATGTAAATCATGCTAATATTATAAATGCGAAAGTTTAGATGGATGGATGTTAGCGTTTGTAGCGTAAACGGCTGAACGGATCTCCATGAAATTTGGCACAGATGTAGAGCATAGTCTGGAAGAACACATAGGCTACTTTTTATCCCGGCAACAGTTACGGTTCCCGTGGGATTCATTAATTTGGTTTTTTAACGTTTACTTAATCATTCTGCAACGGTTCAACATATCTTATTAAAATTTGGCACAGATATAAAACAGAGTCTGAAGTACACATGGTATAAGGTTCATCCCCGAGAAATGTCCGGTTCCATAGGGATTCGTAGCTTTTTGTTATTTATGTATTTCGTATGTTTTCTAATACCACGCGGACGAAGTCGCGGGCAATATTGTAATAACTCAAAAACTACTATGCTGGTTTCAAAAATCTTCTACCAATAAATAGCTACGATATCGCTGAGTAAGGTAATAATTTGTTGTTGTATTAATATATTTGTTATACTTTTAATTCAATTTCCCGTGGATAAATCTCTAGAGAGTTTACTCTAACCTGTTAAAGAAACATCTCCACTTTGGTTATCTGTCGAAAGCTGTCACGTTAACTCAAACCAAACGCGGTATAAGGCTATTAGGTTTCTAACCACTTGCGTTTTCACTAGATTTTTATAAACACAGAATATTTGTGGTAATGCCATCGGAAGGCGTTTTTTTTTTAAATTTAGATGTTTGTATGATTGAATTCAATGAAAATCAAAATTTTTACACATGTCACTGGCTGAAAATACTCTTTACTGTCTATGGATTTATATAAAAAATTTGCAGTGTTTATATTGATGAAAAAATAAAAATAGAAGAAAGATTTGTATTTTTATATGTATTGAAATAACTCAAAAACTACTAGGCCGATTTAAAAAATTATTTCACCATTAAAAAGCTACGTTATCACTGAGTAACTTAGGCTATATTTAAATTCCATGCGGACGGAGTCGCTAGCAACAGCGAGTTATTACTAACCTGTCCCCCTGGTATAGTTCAACGGAAGAGTTGAGTTCCGCTAACTGCTCCTTCAGTAGCTGCAGGTTGGAGTTGACGAAGCTCAGCTCCAGTGCCACCGTTTCACGTAACTTGCGGTTCGTTGTCGCCTGAAATAAACATTCGTTTAGCGAACATTGATCAGGATTTCTCAGTGTTAAGATTGAACGTGGATGGCTACAAAGGTAGAGGAAGACCGAAGAAAGTATGGATTGTGTGAAAGAGGGTATGCTTAAGAAAGGCGTGGATTCAAATATGACGGCTGATAGAGATGTATAGAAGAGCACATACTGTGCCGACCCTCCGTAAGGGATAAGAGCAAGTGGATGATGGTTAGGATTTCTCAGAGAAGCGGGTTTAATCGCAAAATTGTGCTTTATTAGATAGTTATAAGGTTCAAATTGACTTTACATGTCCTAATTATGTTATGTCTTAATTCTGAATAGTCTTATCAAGAGGAAACGTAATAAGGACGTGTAACTTTGAGTGCAAACAAAAAGATCCCGCTATCTGCTATTATTTGACATCTTTTGCTGCTATAAAATTGTGTGTACTTTTTTAAACATATTTTCTATCGGTTCTAATCGTAAAAATAATAACAAATTGAGAACAGTCTTATTCTGTTTAATAAGACAGACGCAAAACCTGTTAAGTTCACTAACAATTTCCGGTCAAAACAAAGACTTCCGAACGTTGACTTTAACAATGCAAAAAACAAACAGAAACGCAGCGAACCATAACACCCCTGAGGTTAGGTTTACGAACTTTGACCTTGGATATTACGTCTTCAGAACTTTGTAAAAAAGTGTAAAAAGTCATTTTTAGGGATGTGACTACTTACGTCGCAATGGTCGATTTTAAAGCATATCGAACGAAGTCCCTGTTTCTTTTTCTATTAGCTAACAGATTACAGAATTAAATTCACTACCCACACGGAACAGCATAACAAACAACAAGGGCATTATAGTTAAGTAGCTTTTGCCCGCGACTCCGTCCACGTGGAATTAAAAAAAAAGTGCCAAATATGCCAAATTTCATCGAGATCCGTTCAGCCGTTTAGGTTACAAACTCTAACAAACATCCATCCAT